ATACAATAATTTTAAGTATATTTTTGCCATGTAAATTGTAAGAGTAAAAATGACTACATAAACAGCAACTGTTGCAAGTACTTTTTCATCGATTAATGATTGGTTTTTAAAAACACATAAATCAACCATAATATAATACCTGCACGTAGATTTATCTTACAGTACAGAAACGCCATGACAAATTATTAAAAAATTCGTACGGAGCTGAGACTGTGTACTTTAATATTTCATATATAAAATTTTGTGGCATTGCTGCGTGTTAAAACTAATATTAAATGAATTTAGTATAACATAGCTAAAGCAAACGCCAACCTTACTCTTACAGCTTGTTTAAAAATAACTAACAAATTATTAAAAATCATTTGTCAATTTGTCAGATGCTGTAAATATCGTAACCGAAAATAGAAAAAAAAATAAATTTTTATTTTTATATTTAAATTAATACTTACACACAATCTTATCAACGGGATCATAGTCATCATATTCAATGAATGCGAAGCCACGTTTTTTGCCAGTTTCTTTGTCCATGACAATATTAACCTCACATATATTGCCATATTCGCCAAAGTGTTCGCGTAAGCATTGTTCGTCGTGGTCATCTTTAAGACCACCAACGAAAAGTTTCTTTACCGTAGCACCAGCATTGGGATTATCAATATCTTGACGTGGTACTGCACGTTTTGGCTCAACCACACGACCATCAATTTTATGTGGGCGTGCATTTTGTGCATCATCAATCATGGCTGACTTCGAATATGTAATGAACCCAAAGCCACGTGAACGCTTTGTTCGTGGGTCTTTCATCACAACGACATCGACTATTTTACCCCATTTCTCAAAATGTGATTTAAGACCATCATCGGTAGTACGATAATCTAAACCACCAATAAATAACTTGCGAAGATGTTCTGGTTCAGTAATATCCTCCTATACAAAAAAAAATAAAATATATACAATCTTAAAATATTGATTTTTCACAATATGTATACCAGAAATTTTTACAAAATGGCCGCCAACTCGAAAGTTAGTGAAAATTTAGTTTTAATTAAAAATTAATAAATATATTACACTTACATCTTCTTCATTGTGATTGTTTCCATTATGTAAACCATTTTCTTTTTTCACTTGATTAGCCATATTTTCACAATTTAAATGTTAATTTTTACAAATTCTCTACACCAAGCACACGAGCTACTTACGACACGAGTGAAAAAATTGTAATGAAGGAAGGAAATTGTTGTCATAAGAAGTCGACATTTTCGATAAAGATTTTATTCGATAAATTATAAGTGTTGCTAGGATTTATTTATTCTCAGATTTTTTTAAAATATTTTTTTTAAAAAAACATATTTAACCTTACAACCTTTACAATTGTTTACAACAATCACGATCTAATAGTTCTCTTTTATTTATTATTACCAGATTTTACTTTGCTCCCACTACAAGATTTTCTTTATTTATTTGGTTAGAGTATGGAATTTACTTTTATGTGCCACCAGAACCGCAAGTAGAGTAGCAGCTTTCTAAAAACTGTTGATTAATAAATTACCTTGACATCATCCGTTCTACCGCTTAATTATTATTTTTAAAATTGTTATTTTTTTTTCTTCCTTAATATCTCGTTTGCAATATTTAATTATCTATTCTGAATTTTCAATTCTAAATACTGATTTTCAATTTAATGTTTTATTAAATATTTTTCTTTTATTATATAATAATTTATTAATCGTTATTTATTATTATTATTTATTATATATCTCTTTATTGTTAGTTTTTAAGTTAGTCCTAAGATGATGCAACACATATTTTATAATAAATAACTTAAATAAATTTTATTTTTATATAATATAGGTACATTCTTTTTAATACAGAACACAATGACAAATTTTTGTTAACAATTTTTTTAGTATTTTTAATATAAGTAGATATATATCTTTTCATAATAGTCATCTTTGCGCTTTTTGTTTGTAATGCAAAACTCGAACTAAATTGCTAAAATGTTAAATATATGCTAAATATAAAGTACTAGATTTGTTATTAGTGCTCGAATTTTTTATTTTATAACATTTGACTTAGTTTGTAAAATCAGATTCGCATACAATAAATTGAAACATTTGAATTTATTTTTTGTTGTGAACAATAATTTTGTTTTTTAACGGGCTAATTGGTCAGTAGTTAAATAATATAGTTTTAGTTTTGTTCTTTTTCTTCATTTTATAGTTATCATCAGGGTACTATATGTAATATAAATGATGATGATGATTTTATACATGACTATATAATATTATATAGTCGAAATACAGGTTTTAATAAAATATTTTAAAAAACCAAAACAATTTTTAAAAATGTGTATTATTTAATTAATGACCAAATAACACGTTAAAATAGAAAATTATTATAAAATTTAATTAATTTTATTTTTTTAACTCTTTTCGCGGCATTATATAATTACCCATACGTAAAAATAGAACACCTTAACAAAATACCAACTTAAATTTCTGACTCTGCCTTCCATGAAGGGTTTTTCTACTATGTCACATACATAGTAAATAACATTAATTTAATTCACATTCGCTTAAGCTAAAGTTTTTGTTTTTATATTAAAATGTAAATATATCGAAATTAACTATTTAACTAGTTAACATGCCGCTAGTATAAAAGTTGTTAAATTAAAATAGTCGAATAACCTATTACTAGTTTATTTATATGTAATTGTTTTAGGAGGGGTTTAAAAATATTAGCTAGCTTTGCTCTGAACACAAAATATGCCTTCACAATGTTTCTGTTTAGGAATTTACCACTTTTACAATACGTGCTTTCGGCAACTTTTAAGTCTGACCAAAATACATCAAGTTACTCGCTTAAAGTTGCTAATTTGTACGCAAACTAACAAAACTACTTTTTCTATCTGAACACCTAGTTGAAAAGTGGCCAAACATTTTAACGACTGCAGAAAAAAAATGTTGATTGGAAACTTCAACGAATATTCCAGTTATCTGTCAAAAATTTGGGAACAAAAACTCCAACAAAACTAAAAATATATATTAAAAATATGCAAAAGTGTGGAAAATAATTATTTTAAAATAATGCACATATATATACATATATATTATACGAAAGTATAACTAAAAAGCATTTTAAATTTTTTAACTTTTTAGTTGCGTAAATATTGTAAACTACTATATTATTAATTTTGCTGTGAAATGAAATATTAGAATTTGCTGCATTATTAACATTGCTTTTAATTTATTATTCATTTTAATTTTCAATTTTGTATTAATTATTTATTTTTATGCAAAATTTGGTTTTCTTGCATTATGTACACATATATAAAGTTTGGTCTTTACGAAAACATGACATTTGACAGATTGCAACACTTTTGCCAATATCTCGCTTTGCAACTTGTTTTCTTGTCGCACAGAAAATCTGCCAAAAGCACCTAAGCGTTGATATATAAAAATTTTAAACACAAAAATTTACATTAATTTAAATAATAGAAAACATAATGAATATTATAAAGGCAATGGTAAGCATTTTTATCTTATGTATAAAAATTCATTTTTAGTTTATGTATTTGAATTTATTAGTAAATGAAATGCTAGTATGATATTAACGGATGACTAGAATTTTGCAACATATATATATATACATTCTGAAACTTAAGAAGTTTTTAAGAGCAATGTTGTTAATATGTTTTCTTTCGTAAGTTGTGTATATTTTTTTTACACTTTGAAAAAATTAATTACTTCTATTATACATAAAAAAATATTTTTATATCCAGCAGGCATTGTGAATTTTTTCTATGTTAAACATTTTTTCAAATAAAATACAACTCTGTTCAGTTCGAAAATTTTTCGGCTTGATATCGGCTACAATTTGCTTCCGCATTCATTTCTTGTTATACACAGTCGATAGTGGTTCGTTCTGTCCGCGTGTATTAAATATAACTATCAAGTGATTGTTTAAAACTATAAGTGCAAAAATGGCTAAAGTCGCAAATAATGGATATCAACTTAATGTTAAGCAAGAAGGTGGAGAGGTGAGTAAATTTATAAATGTTAATTTTATGGAACAAATTAATATGGTGACATGTATCAAGAAATATGATGGCGTCGCCATGTTAAACACGAAGTAAAAACGATGAATACTTCGGTTCGTTTGTATGCGTAAATATAAAAATCAAAATAATTAGTAATTGTATTATAAATAAATGCGTTATTATTTATATATTTATGAATATTTTGTACTATTTGTATAATTTGCATATATAGCAACCTGGTGAAGATAAAGACTTTTTACGCAAAATGTTCATTGGTGGGCTAGCCGCTGTAACAACGGAAGATGGTCTACGTGAATTTTTCAGACAGTGGGGCGATGTTGTAGATGTGGTGGTGATGCGTGATCCGGCAACAAAACGCTCCCGAGGATTTGGATTCATTACATATTCCTCACCAACAATGGTTGATAAGGCTCAAGCTGCTAGGCCACACGTTATAGACGGAAAGTAAGTATTGGGTTTTTTTTTGACATACAATAATTAAATTATAAACATTTTTAAAATATTTGTTATTAAATTAAAGTTGTTTTTACAGAGTTACAAATTCAAAATTACTCTTACAAAATTATAAAAACTAAAAACAGCGGCAGGTAGTGTCCATAAAGACACTACCGCCATTTTTAAGAGTCGAAAGGGCACTTAAAAATTATTATTTTATGCAAATTGTATATTTGAAATGCATTTAAGAAAATTTAACTATACAAAAGTAAAGAGTACACATTTTAAACAATAACTTCTAAACGCTAAAAAAGTCAAGCACCTTTCTTTAAAAAATTGGGCTTCCCACTTAAATTATTTATATATATATTGTTTAATTTTATTTTCGTTTTATAATTATTTTAGAACTGTTGATTCTAAGCGTGCTTTACCCCGCCCTGAACTCGGCAAGCCTGAGAATAGCACCTCTATCAAGAAGATATTTGTTGGTGGTCTAAAGGAATATCATGATGAACAGGCTTTGACTGAACATTTCTCACAATTCGGCAATGTTATCAGCGTAAAGGTTTTAACTGACAAAGCTACTGGTCGTAAACGAGGTTTTGCCTTTGTTGAGTTTGATGATTACGATGCAGTGGACAAAGCAGTTTGTAAGTCAAAAAAAATATATAACTTATTTTATTTATATATTTCATATTCAGTAGAATAGTATTTTTTTATATAAAAAGAGATAGTCATGATTATAGTAATTATAAAAATAATACTTTATTCATTTTATAATTAAAATCTTATTAACTTTATATATGATAGATTAGATATTATGTATATTATATTTTAATATATACTATTTTTTATTATATTATATTTTATATATATTAGATTAAGTTTAGATTAGGTTAATATATTAAGATTTTACTCTACATTTATTATTTTAAATGTTTTAAAAAAAGTACCTGTTATATCGATCAAGTAACTGTATCCTTTACTACAGTGTACTTGTGAAGCAGGAATTCACTTTTCACAGAAATTTGTTCGCGTTAAAATTACCTGCCTGCTTCTTTTGGGACTATATCTGTTAAGAGAATTTTCCATGCTGTTAATTATATTTCATATAATTTATTGTTTTAATGACCAGATTTTATTTATATATTTTTGAAGAGTCCACACACAATGTATATAAGATATATTTAATATAAATAAAATATATTTAATACATTTAAGATATATTTATTATATATAATATAAAATATGTTTGAAATATGTAATATAATATATATTTAAAATATATAATATAAAATATATTTAATATACATAATAATATAAATATATGTATTTTAACATAAAAATTAAATACAAATTTATATGTATTGATATTTAAATTATTTATTAATTATATTTATTTATTATTATATTAACATATATTTACTTAATTCTCATTTAGTACACAAAAATCACACTATCAAGTACGTTTTGGTTGATGTTAAGAAATCGGTTTATAAGCAGGAATTAGCTAAAAAATTAGCACAACAAGGTACTATGACACCACCCGGTGGTTCTCCTGGTGCTCAAGGTGGTTACCAACAACCTCCAAATGCTTATAATCCACAAGCTTACGGCTATCCACCTCAAGCAGCTCCTCCAGCAGGTGCGTATAACGGTTGGCCAGGTTATGGTCAGCCACCTGCTGCCGGTTATCAACAAGGTCCCCCCGCTTATGGTGCCTACGGTGGCCCACAACAAAATGGTAACGCAGGTTGGAATGCAGCATATCCAAATCCAGCTGGTTGGGGTCAGAATGGTTATGGTGCAGCTTCAGCACCTGCTCCTCCTGTTGCACCTGCTGCTGGTCAAGCACCGCCTGCTAATGGCTGGAATGCTAATGGTGCTTCGCAAAATTTTGGTGATTACCAACAAACATATAATGGTGGTCCACAAAAGGCTGGCAATTTGCAAGCTAACCGCATGAATCCATACAGTGTGTCGTCAGCTCCCAATTATGGTAAGCAGTAACTGAATTTAAACTATGGTACATTATCATAATTTAAATATTTTCATAAAGTTATGCATAGTAAAAACAAAAACAACAACAAAAAAATAGATCAAGAATAAGTAACCCTAATGAACTTCACATTCCAATGTATGTTCTAGATATTTTAACAATTATTATATATGAAGTTTGTTTAACACCAGCAATGTTAGTATATAAAAAATGTAGACCTATATAAATATATATTGTACATTTATTATTGAGATTTTTATTTTTCTAATTTATGTTTACATATAAAAATGTGTATGTATATATTGGTGTGTATTTTGGTTGTTGCTTTAACTACTTAAATCTGATTTATTAATATATTGGTATTTATATGTGACCTCTCAAACATAAGAATCTCATATTTAACTACGCTTTTATCTGACTTATATGGAAAATATTATGTTCTACAGGCTCAACTTCGGCGGGTTATGCAAATATGTATGGTTCGCCCAATAATTTGAATATGTCAAAGACGCAATCAACGCATGACAAAAGTGCATATGGTGGGGGTGTAAAAAAGGCCACTCGACAATACTAAATTATGTATATGACGTAAGCAGCAAGCAAGCATATCTTTAACATTGATATATATTAATGACATATGCAGGTTTTTCTGGCAACAGGCAGGTACGTTGCTATGTATAAACTACATATCTAAAACAAATAAAAAGCTTGCGTACCACTTAACCTTAATTAACAAAAGCTGAGATACTTTCAATATATAATATGTAAAAATGATTGTTAATATTTGTTAGCTAATCGAATTGGTTTATCAGTACTTTGTTGTATTTAGAAATAGCTGGTCTATTATTCCTAGTACTAATCATGCAAGCACCTAAAGGAATATATTTTCGATATCTTAATTGATATAAGATTTGCATAAAAAACCTGTGAATTGGAATTAAATTCAAATTTTATATGTATTTATATAGCAATACATTATTCAGCAATTATATTTAGTGATTGCAAAAACGAACATAGAAAGTTCTATTTCCTTCTTGTCATAGATATAGCACATAAAAGCTATATCAATAATTTCTAACCATTTCTAACCATTAGAAAAAAGTTAAGTTATTTAAAAGTTATTATAATATATAAATTGGGTTTTAAAAAAATAAGTGTTTAGGTATTCTACAGTGTCAATTTCTATATTATAGTTATCTTTTTTTTCTATGTGCAATATTTTGCATGCTTCTATTGTTGGTTAATAAATGTTTTAATCGTAGTTTGTGTTTATAACTAATACATCTAACATTAGTTATGTATCTTTTAGAACCTTATTTCTAAGTGTGTAAAATCAATCTAATTCTCATAAATAATTTTTCCACTTAACAACAGTTTGGTTATTTTTTCAAGCTGTTAAATATATTTTATTATATATTTATAATACCATATGT